GGGGGCAGGACGTGCCTGCTGAGCGAAGGAAGGAAACGAAGGGCCCTTCTGGTCTGGGGACGCGCAGCCGGAGCCTCAGGCGCGCCCTGAGGGCGGGGACCGTGCCGTATGACCCTCCTGGGCGGAGGGAGGGACTGGAGTCACCATGGGCAGCTGCCGTGCCAAGGGGAGGCTTTCGGGTGTGTGCAGGTGCCCAGGAAGGCTGGCCTCACCTGCTGGGGCTGTCACCGGCCGCGCTCGAATGGACACTTCGACCCTGCAGAGCCACGCCCACACCGGAGCTGCGGGGAGAGGGGGTGCACGTGAAGAGGAGCCTGGGGTGCCCCGCGACGCTGTCACAGGGGCCACACTAAGGGGGAAACTTCACCCGGGGCCAAATCTGGCCCTCTGCCTGTTTTTGTAAATAAAGTTTTATTGACTGGCCACCACATCCACCCATTCCTGCTTTTCTGCAGCCCTTTTCACAAAGGCCGAGCTGGGTGGTCTCCACAGAGACAGCCTGGCCCTTCGTGGAAAACGTCTGCCGAGCCCTGGGCTGCAAAGCATGTGCTTTTCGTTTTATAATTCTCTCATCTTCCCCTTTGCTTCACACCGAGTGTGTATTTTATGCCCAGGAAAAAGTCCTTATGCAAACAGGGCAAACTCAGCCCAAATCCGTGTGCTTCTCAAAGCCTCCCACCTCCCTCCATTAGGAAGAGCCTCTCCTTAGACGGGCCACGTCCCGGGTCCCATGGCACTGGAGGGTTGACTTCCGGGCTCCGTCCACCGAGGGGGCACGGTGGCCACCTGCCTCCCCGTCCTAAGGAGGCCTGCCCGAGGCTGCGATCTGAGCAGATGCGCCAGACGCCTTCCCGCAACGGGCAACAAGCGAGTTGTGAGGGAACCCGGGCAGGCAGGTGCGGGTCTGAGTGGCGGCTCTGCCGCCACGCGGACGGTCCCCACTAAGGGGCCTGAACCCCACCTGCCGCGGGACACCGTCAGCCCCAGCGCCGCCCGACTCACTGTGTGACCTTCGGCAGCTGGGCCCCCTGCCTGGTGCTGCTGACGGGCCGTCCCGGCTCCGAGGTGCCCTGACCCACCCCCTGCCCGTCCCCTGGCCCCACTGAACCCTCCGGGTCAGGGCCTTGAGGCGGGGGAGGGACACACAGACACTCACCGCAGGGCAAGGATCTGGCGGAGAAGGCCGGGAGCTGCAGAGAGAACCGTGTGGTGGAGGCGATGAGCCCAGGCGGCAACACTGGCAGTAAACCCGGGACCTACATGGGCCCGCAGGGTCCGGCCTCCGGGAGCTTCCCCACAAGCTCCCCCCGCCTGGCATTTCCTTCCTCCTACCCTTGGTCTATCCAAATTCCCCCTAACAAACCCTTGCGAAGAGAAGTCTTTCAGGATATGAGCCACATGGTGTCACGGCCCTGCTCGATACCCCAAGCCCTGAACGAAAAGCCAAACCACACCAGGACCATCCTCCCTTTCCTCAAGCACGTCTGTGTCCCTCCTGCCCCAGGGCCTTTGCACCTGCAGCTTCCGCTGCCTGGAGCACCCTGCCCCACACGTGCACTTGGCCAGCGCTTCCTACGGGCAGGCTTCAGGTCTACACCAGCCCCCCAGACTCCCTAGATCCTGTCACCCTGTGGCGTCTCCACGTATGTGTTGTGCGGTGCCTGTCTCTCCCAAGATGCGGCTTCCCTGGGGTCCCGTGACTTGGTGCCCCACAAGTGTGCGCGAGTAAACAAATCCGCAGACACCAGCGAGGCTCCGGGCTCCGGGCTCCGGGCCCCGGGCCGGGGCTCTGGGGTTTCGGAGGCTGGGCCTGAAGACCAAGCTCCCCGGCGGGCCGCCTCTCTCTGTGCCTCGGTTTCCTCAGTTGGAGACTGAGGGCTGCGGATAAGCTCCCAGCACAGTAAACGCCCTTCCCCCCTCAGGTGCCGCCAGATCTCGCCGCTCGGCCCTTGGACCACGGACGCACCACCCGGGTTTCGAAACAGCGTCCTGACCACGGTGTCTCCGCGCAACCGCCTTCCTTCGCGCTGTGACTTCTGTCCTGCGCGTTCAATCCCTAATCCGGGGACGGGGGTCTCTGCAGCGGGGCGGGCTGGACACCGGTCCCCGCCCGGCCGGACCGCGTGCCTGTTTCCTCGCCGTCCCCGCGCCGCTCCCCTCCCGGGACCCGGAGGGGCAGCCCCGCGACCCCGCGACCCCCGACGCACTCACCCGCCAGCGCCGCCATGTTGGCCTCGGCCTTCAAACAACCCCTGCGGTCCGTCCGCCTTAGCGCTCCGGCTCTCCAGGGCCGTCTCCCAAAGCGGCTCGGCCGGGGCGCGGAAGCGAGGAGCCGGGCCTGGGACGTTCCGCCCGCGCGGACTTCCTCCTGACGCGTGCCGCCAGACACCCCACGCGGGACGGGCTGACGCGCGGCGGGTGGGGGGGGGGGGCGCGAGGAGCGTCCCGGCAAAAGCAGGGGCGTCGCTCGCCGTCTCCTGACCTTAGGAACAAAAGTCCAAAAGTGCGTCCCTGGGTGGGCTCGAACCACCAACCTTTCGGTTAACAGCCGAACGCGCTAACCGATTGCGCCACAGAGACGGCGCTGCCGCCCGGCGCCCCGCGAGGCTTTATGAGGCGCGCGCGGCCGGGACGCAAGGCGCCGGTCGAGGCGGCGCGCGGGCGGCGGGGTGGGGCGCGGCGCGGGGGAGGACTCCGGGTGAGAGCGGCCCCTGCCGCCCCGCCGAAATAGCTCAGCTGGGAGAGCGTTAGACTGAAGATCTAAAGGTCCCTGGTTCGATCCCGGGTTTCGGCAGCCGTTTTGACGCCCCCGCAGAGAAGGAAGCCCCCTCTGCTTGGCGGGCGGGGAGCTGCTTCCGCCCACCACCACCACCCCAAGGTCACCCCGGGCCAGCGTGGGTGGGACCGAACTCAGAACGGGACCCTCACAACCCTTGCCCCACCCCCTGGACCACGATTCCAGCCCATTCGGTCAAAACCCACCAAACACAGTTCGCAAAAACACTTGCCGCTTGCGTGTCACTGAATTCTTAAGATCCTTCTGCTGGATTTTACACTTGGGGACGCAGGCTCACATCTGTAAGCGCAGGTGAGCAGCAGGCTGGCCTCCAGGCGGGACAAGTCCCTAGGGTCCTGGAGCCCCCGCTGGGGCCGGTCACGAATGCCAGGCACAGCCGGCAGGTCTGGCTCCAACGAGGAGCTCCAGGCCCCTTCCCATTTCCTTCCCACTACCCACTAGCCTGTGGAGCTGGATTTCTTTTTAAATTTAAGTAAACTTTGCATTTCGGAATAATTTTAGGCACGGAAAAGTCGCCAACACAGAATTCCCATGTACCCAACACCCAGTCCCCTGTCTTCAGCACCTGCGGCAATTCGCGAACCAAAGTGAACATAGATAGTATCAATGGAAGTCTGAGCCTTATTCAAGTTTCATTTTCCTGGAACGTCCTTGCCCCGTGAGCGAGGAGAGCAAGGGAGGAGAGCGAGCTACCCGGAGCGGAGTCCCCAGCCCATCTGACGGCTACCCCATGAGACGCCAGAGTCATGGCCAGCCTGCTCTTGGGTTTCCAACCCACCACTAGGTCCTGGGGTACTCCGTTATTCAAGAGAGGGCCCCCGCAGGGGCAAAGGGCATGCGAGGCTGGTTGATGGAGGGGGTGGGGAGGTGCCCCACCCCCGGAGCCTGATGGAGAACCCCCCCACAAGGGCAGGCCGGCTGGGGGAGCAGAACCTGGAACGGGGACGGCACGCATCCGGCAGGGAACTAGGAATTGGGGATGGGGGGACCCGGGACGGTGGGGGATGGGCAGTTTCTTGAACAGATGTTCAGATTCTTACCCCGTACACGGTACGTGACTTTTGTTTTTTGTAAAGTTTATTTGTTTTGAGAGAGAGCGCCAGTGGAGGAGGGACAGAGACAGAAGACAGAGGATTCCAAGCAGGCTCCGTGCTGTCACCTCAGAGCCCCACACAGGGCTCGAATCAATACGAACCTTGGGACCGGGCCTAAGCCAAAATCAAGGGTCAGATGCTTAACTGACTGAGCCACCCAGGCGCCCTGCTTTTAAGATTTTACTTTTAAGTAACTTCTAGTGGGCCCGATGGGGGGCTCTAACCTACCAAGAGTCAAGGCACCACCTGAGCCAGCAAGGTGTCCCCACCCCCACCCCCCAGCACCGAAATAATTCAAGATTCTTTTTTTAGATAAGCAGTAGACTTGAAGAGGTACCGAGGTGCGTGCAAGGACATCCCCATCCCAAGAAGTAGGGATGGGGGCGAGCGGTGACCACAGGAAGAGGTGGGACCGTTGCCTCGCGCCTCCGGGCCGGGGTTTCGAAACGAACCTCCCCTCCGTGGACTTCCAAGTACAACCTTCCGTCAGCTTACGGTAAATAATTCATTTGAGCACGGCTGTGACAGGTCGCCAGATGTCTGGGACTCCATGCAAGGCCCGGCCAGGTGAAACTAAGTCAAGATCCTTTACCTGGCAGGTCACCAAAGGTCAGGGTCCCAAGCTGGGGACGCTCAGGCCATCGGGGTGACGAGACCTGCCCCCTTTCTTTGTGTCGGGACAGGAACGGGAGCCTGGCCTCCAGACGAAGGCCGTCGTCTGCAGGAACCGGCCGGGCCGGAGTGGCACTCGCGGCCCCCACGGCGCGACCCCACACACAACGACCTCTGCCGTTGCGAGTATGACGTCACAGCTCTCCAGGCAGATCAGCTACCCCGGGGACCTGCTGGTGAGATGATGCTCCGCACCAGGCCAGACGCGGCCACGCGTGAAAATGCAGGCGAAGGGACACTGTGGTGGCGGGCTCGCACTGTGATGCGCGCCCCACACGGGGACGGAGTGGAACGAAGCCGTCGCCAAGTGTACGTTCCACGTGTTCTCGTGCACGAGGAGTCACAACGAATGCTACAGCACGAGATACCGGAGCGACACCGTGGACTCAGGGCCCACCTGGGGACAGACACAGGTGATCTGGAGGCAGACACACACGTCGGGCTGTTTTAAAACTCTTTAATACTGGATACAATGCTTTTTAACATAAAAAAACAAATGTGCACCTTATGTTAAACAATACAGCACAGTCACAAATAATAATATGAAGGAAAATAAAAATATTTGCTTCAAAAACCTTTCAGGAACTGTACCTTCCAAAAAAAGCCAGGAAAACAGAAGCCACAGCTGAGAAGCACGCACACTCCAGCCCCCGTGAGGACGGCACGGACCCACCAGCCACAGGACCCGCGCAGCAGCCCCTCCAGCGTCAGCACCGCTGACTCCTTTCTTCCAAGAGCTGGTTATCAAACATTTCTTTTTCCCTTCAGAAAATAAAAGGAGATAACCTCATTTCAATAATTCATTGTGTCTTTTTTTTTTTTTTTTTTTTTAGTGTTCGTTTATTCTTCAGAGACAGAGCGTGAGCAGGGGAGAGGCAGAGAGAGGAGACACAGAATCCCAAGCAGGCTCCAGGCTCTGAGCCCAACGCGGGGCTTGAACCCACGAGCCACAGGATCATGACCTGTGCAGAAGCCTCATGCTTAACCGACTGAGCCACCCAGGTGCCCCAGGAATTCACTGTGTCTTCAAGAGTGGGAAAGAGTCGGTGTTCCATGGGGACAGGGTCTCAGTTTAGGGAGACAGAAAGTTCTGGAGACAGACGCTGGGGGCAAGACAGCTGGGGGCAAGCCGCTGAGCTGTGCGTGTGGAGACAGTCGAAGAAGGCGAATTCTGTGTTATGCGCATCTCACGATTTTTTTTAAATAAACTCTTTAAAGAAAGTGAAATATCAGACTGTCCTCGCTAAGCGCACCCTGCTAAGGAATCACATAACCGAGGCATGGCGTGTCACACTTGTCCAGGTGGCCACAGTGACAGAAGTCACGGACGCAGACAGCGCCTAGCGAAGCGCCTGCAAGTCCACGTGAGCACGTGGCTCCGGCGGAACGTGAGGCCGCTTCGTGGGGCAGGAAGACCGGCCGCCCTGCCCTCGGTTCGAGGCCACGTCCCTGGGGTCCGTCATCGGCACGGCCAGCGTCATCTCCGTGGTGCCCGACACGTTCGTGGCAGGTAAAGGGTGCGGATACTCCCGACGCTCTGATGCTGGCGACCCAGGGCAGCAGCAAAGCGTGAAGACAGAGCTGTCCTCACCGGCGGAGCGGCCAGTCCCCGAGAGGCGCTCCGGACACGGCGCCCCCGCCCCGCTCGCCTGAGAACACCGTTCCCTATCTGTGTGTGGAGGGCGCCACACCGGACGGAGACCCAGGGCCAGAGACACCGAGTTTCCCAAAGGCCCTTCTTGGTCTGCTTAGTGCAGCCGGGTCAACCCTCCCGCACGCAGAGCCACACTGGCTCTTCCGTGGACAGTGACGCAGGAGGCCTCCCCGCCCACCGAGGCGCACACCAGCAGCCCGGGGCAGTGTGCCCAGCTGGCCCCGGACACAGACCCTGGCCCGTGACTCTAGTTGAGTCTTCAGCCTGTCACAGCCACGCGGGCCCCGCCTGTTCCCAGCGAGGCCTGGCAGCGAGCCCAGAGACAGGATTAGGGGCTCTGGGGGCCAAAAATCCAAGGGCGGTGAACTATGCCGACGGAAGAGAAACATCTTGATCACCACATTCTTCTGACCGGCTAGGAATGGACCAGGGCGAGTGCCGCCATGTAATCCTACTGTGTTTTCTCAGCGGCCCCGGCATCGGGGCAAGGGGGAGAGAGTTTGAAATGAGTGACTGCAAACCGCGATCAGGCTCAGCAAGGCTGGCACGCGTCCAGGGAGCGGGCCCGGCGCACGGCCCGCGGACCGTGGCGCGGGCCTGGGCTTGGGTCCAGATCTGCCTGCCCTGACCAGCTCGGGGACCCCGGGCCCCTGTCCAGACTCGCTAGCGGGGAACGTCCACCACTGGCTTCGCTGGGTCCCCCCGGCAACTCCCGGCCAAGCGCTAACGTGCATTTCGACCGTTCAGGATTCGTTCCCCCACCGGGAACCTGAGCCAGCGTGTCAGGAAGAGGGCCCGGGTCACGGCCGCCAGCGAACACGAGCCCTTCTAGACTCGCTGCCGCCGGTCGGGGGCGGCGCCCGGAGCAGCCTACCGGTAGCTGAGCGAAGGTCCTCGGAGGTACTTCGCCTCGGCCGTCTCGTAATCCACGGCGTCCACCGCAGCGATCGCACAGATGATGGCCTGCAAGAGGGCAGGGGGCGCTCAGCCACGGGCGGTGGGCCCACGCCGCACACGGGCTCGAGACATGGGCGTGGGGCCCGGGGCGACTTCGGACCAGCCTCCACAAACGCGCACAGATTCCCTGAAGTCTCTGGACGTTTTTGAATGGCGTCAGTAATGCCGTGTCTTGGGGACGAGGGAGAGAGTTCGTGTCACTAACAGCAGAGAATGGAAGGCGGGACCCAAACCAACCGGGATGGTTTAGAAAAGTTGTAAGCTTACTGTTCACACCACGGGGAAAACTACAAGACTGATGGTCCGAGCACGCGGCACGTCTGGTGCTGAGTCCTCGTTCACTTTGTTAGGTAACGGAATCATGGTTACGTCAGAAAGCCTTTTCAAAGAGCCTGTACGGGGCGCCCGGCAGCCTGGGCTCGTGGAGACCGTGACCCTTGGTTTCTGGGCCCCGAGCTTAGGCCGCCGTCAGGCATAGACGCTCCTTGAAAATACAATCTTTAGGGGCGCTGGGGTGGCTCGGTCAGTCGAGCGTCCGACTCTGGCTCACATCACGATCTCGCGGTTTGTGATTTCAAGCCCCACCTCGGGCTCACTGCTCTCAGCGCAGACCCCACCTCGGATCCTCTGGCCTCCGCCCCTCTCCTGCTTACACTCTCCCAAAAATAAATACTGAAAAAAATCTTTACAGACCCCCCCCCCAACCTGGGCACTGCTGACGTCGGGGCACGTTACTCTTGGGGGTGTCCCGGGCACTGTGGGGGTTCAGCAGCATCCCAGGCCCCACCTGCTGGGTGGCTGGAGCCCCCTCAGCGGGAACCACAGCCGTCCCCACACGGGGACCAGCATCTCGGGGGCAGAACCACCCTATCTGAGAGACACACACTGAAGTACTTCAGGACCAAGAACTGGGGATCGCCCCCCGTAGTTATGTGAAGAGAGCTAGAGGTACAAACGGAGAGAGGCCACCATTCCGCACAGGCTACGTGACAGTGTTTTACTTTTATACCAATCTGAAAGCTTCCAGTTTGTATAAAGTTACGGGTTTTTGAGCACGATAATTTTCTGCACGCACACGTACGCGCGAGCAAAGCCCCCGACCCTCCAGATAACCGGCGGGGTCTCGTGTGCTCCTGCCCGGCAAACCCCGGCTGCCGCATCTCCCCAGGCAGCTCCCGTTCTGGAAAAGTCCTCGCGTGCATACACGGACAAAGCACTCAGCTCTCGTTCTCTCGTCCCCTCTCCCCCCCACCGGCCACGAGGCTTAACCACGGAGGCCATCACACCACCCACAGACGGGAGCAGACAGGGCGGGTGCCTGGCTCCACACCACGATGCCCCGCTCCCCCGCCGACTTCCGGAGACCCCAGCCCCGCAGCAACCCCCCCCCCCATACACTGTGGACGGCGCCCCGGCTTCCGGGCAGAGCCGGGAGGGGCTCTTGCCGGGCGCCGGCTGCCGACCCCCCACCCCTCACCGCGCGGAACCAGCCTGCGGCCACTCACTTCGGGCAGAAGAACGTCCAGGACGAAGCGGATCCTGTCGGCGTTGATCCGCGCCAGCGCCCTGCTGCCCGTCTCCTGGTAGACGCCCTGGAGGTATTTCACCACCAGGTCCAGCTGTTCCTCGTCCTCCAGGTACGTCTCCACGCAGGTCACGTACTGGCCTGAGTTCAGGAAGGTCTTCAGCCACCGGGACGGCTTCCTGTTCCTCAGGATGGCCCGCAGGTGGCCCTCGGCGCCCCTGGCCTTCACGATGTACTCCACCAGCTTCTGGTTGGCCCGGTCCCGGGCAGCCCGCGAGCGGTCGGGGAGGACCTTCCTGCGAGGCCGCCTCCTTCCCTGAGGGCTCCCCGCCACAGGCTCCTCAGGGTCCCCCTTGCTCAGCTGGGGAAACCTGGTCCCCAACACGTCCTGCTGGATGGACTTGCGGACAGGGTAACCTGCGGAGCACCGACACGTCCTGGGACCGCCGGCCCGGCTGAGAGGACTTCCCGCCACCTCCCGTCGCTAACTGTGGCGCCCAGGCTGCGGGGGAGAGGCCCCGGGCCCCCGGGGAGGGCCCAAGGCAACACGCACAAGGCCTCCTCCTCTGACGGGTCCCCACATCCCTCCCCAGCTCGGCCCGATCCGAGTGTGGCCCAGGAGAGCAGAGCCGAGCAGAACCCCCGGGCCCCCCGAGGAAGCACGGACTCCTCCGGCCCCACACCGGCAGCCGGGGACAAGCGGGTGCGGCGTACCCATCGGTTAACCGAAGACCCGAGCCACGGGGAAGGCAGGCGCGAAGCACCGCCAGCCATGCTTTAGAGGCGAGGCCCGGTGCCCAGCGGACAGGGGGCAGGAGGCACGGCGGGGCTTGCCCCTGGAGATCCAGGCTCAGGCTCGGGCTACGGCACGGCCCATCCACCCAGACATCCCCTCCCGAGCTTCAGACACCGAAGACAGCTGCTTCGCGGCTCTGACGAGGAGTCAGCGGACTTACTTATATCGGCCGCGTAATATTCCAGGAAGGAGCCAGCAAAAGAGCCACAGCCTGCAGAGGGGGCAGGGGGGAGCCCGGTCACCATCAGAGGCGGCCCTGGAAATGCCCCAGGGTGGCTGGGTCAGGACACCTGCGTCACGTCGGCACCACCCAGACCGCTTCCAGCTGACGGAACCCAGCACTGCCGTCAGGGTGCCTCATGGCGCAGGAGGTGCCCAGGAGGGCCGCCGTCTAGACTCCCAACAACAGAACCCGGGGCACACGGAAGCCAGCTCTCCACCTCCCATCCACACCTAGCAGCTTGGCCCTCGCCTCTGCCGGGGACGAGGCTGCCCCGGGCCCAGGGAGGGAACCCACGGAAGCAGGCCTGCGCCCCGGCGCCCAGGCCGCCCCTCTGTCTGAGGGCTCGCGGGCCCACCTACCGAGCCGGACCCTGTAGTCCGTGATCAGGGAGACGCACCAGCCGATGGCCTGGTCGAAGTCCTCCTTGGCTTCGTTCTGCAACGACAAGGCCCGGACGCAGATGTGAGCAGGAGGCCACGGGAGCTCCTGCGCCCATCTCCACTCCCCGGCTCCCATGTCCGGTCAGCAGACACATGCCGGGTGCGGCAACGCACACGGAGGCCCAGGTCTGGGGCCCGAGCTGCTTGGAAAGGGGTCACGTGTGAGCTGAGCACTTCAGGACAGGAGAGCTGGGGACTCTACGGGACAGAGGCGGACGCCCCCACACGCGGCTGGCGTCACCCTCACACAGGCAAGACTTGAAAGTCACACAACGTAAACCCTTCCAAGGGGACTCTCGGCGTCCTCTGCTCGGGACAGCGCCGGGTCCGTCGGGAGCAGGGCCGCCCGAGGATGAAGGACACCTGGCCACCGGGGGGGCGGGGGGCGCCCGCCTAGGCCTCGAGGTTTTCGCCTGCAAACCGAGGACCCCTGAGCCAGGACGGGGACCCACTACCTGAGCTCCACCTCCCGGGCCACCTCAGCCCGGCCTCCTCCTGTGGGACAGAGGCAGCGCAGGCGGCTCTGGAGGGAGGGGGGCTCTGGGCTCGGCTGGGCTTGCGGAGCGGCCCCTGGGACAGCGGGCGCTCATCAGGGAAGCACAGGGCACAGCCCATGGCCTTGACACCAGGACCAAAGCAGTGCAAAGAGTCGCTCCAGGAGGGGGCGCTCCTTCGGCCAGACCGGCCTCTCGGAGACCCCACGCTCCCACCCCACAGGTCAGCAGGAAGACAGGGAACAGGCACCATCCCAGCGTCTGGATCACGCGAGGCCACGTGCCATCTTTGTCACAAAACCCAATTCTTCACGTGGTTAGAGCACGCAGACCTCAAAGCAAGACTCCTGTCCTCCTCTCCAACTCCTCCACCCTGGGAAAGCTCCCGGAGCCCCGACGGGGGACTGTGTTTCAGGGGGCGTGGAAGGTCCTGAGGCCACGGCAGGCCCCCTTAGAGAAAGAGACCCCGCCGACGGGCACCCTGACAGGGACAGGGAGCCCAGCGCAGGCTGCTGCTCAGGGGCCAAAGTGAGGTCACAGCAGACGAGACAGACGGACGGCAGGGCCACGGCACAGACATACGCCCGTCAGCAGGAGGAGGAGGAGGAGGCGGAGGAGGAGGAGGAGGGTGCCACCTTCCAGACGCCACCCACAGTCCTCAGAACCACACAACCCCTGGGGGGCCTCCACCCTTGAGGCCCCGGGGAAATCCTGGCAAACAGCAGGGACAAGCCGCTCCCCCTACAGGAGGCTTCACCGCGACCTGAACTCCAGGAAGCCGCTCCCCAGGCTGGGAAAAGACCGGCACCGGAGGGAGGCCAGCAGGCCCCTACCCCCCGCCCCCCAGCCGGCCTCGCGTTTTGAAAGCTGGCGTCTCAGAGTCAAACAGACCACGTGTTCTACGGACACGTGGCTCGTGGGCTCGTTGTACAATCAAGAGTCGACCACGGCGCTTCGACGCGGGGTCTCAGCCACCGGGAAGCCCAGGAAGCCCCTGTGGGGCACCGTCGCGATCTCTGTCACACGGGCGGCCTCTGCACGACGGCCCGCGGAAGGGGCCGGCCTCGCACCGGGCAAACTGTCCTCTGCGCCAAAGCCCCACCTGTACGACGAGGGGACGGCTGGCAACCTCCCCTGGGACGGCGGTCCCCACCAGGCACAGCGCCGCGGACCAGATCACGCGGGGAGCAGGGCCACCAGCCGCCAAGGGAGTCGTTTATAGAAACACCGACAATCCACCTACCAGAAGTTCCTGTTTCTCTTTGCAGTCAAAGTGCTTCAATCTCCGGAGAGACACGGTGATGCTAGAAGCAGACGAGCAAAGCTTAACATGAAGGAACCCGACCTCCCGACATGAGAAAACGCCTCCCTTTCCTCTGCTGAAACCAGTCAGGGCCACGGGGGCCTCCGCCAGCACCGGCTTCCTGATCGAAGGCCATCGCTCTCCGGGCTGCCCGAGGAAGCCCCTCAGAGACAGGCCCAGCAGGTGACCGGCAGGCCCCGAGAGGACCCCTAGGGGACACAGCCAAGGACGCCCACGGGAGGCGGAGGCAGCAACCCAGGGCCAGAGGGTCAGAGGCCGGCTCTACGTGTTCGCCTCCAAAACGTGTTTCTGAAGTGCCCTTTGAGCAGAAGGGGATGTTGGTGTGCATTTTCATCCCGGGACAGGGGACCAGTAGAGGGTGACCAGACAACCAAGCAAATGGCGGAAGTCGGGGAGGCAGGCCGCCGCTCACAGCACCCGCCCGAATCACAGTACGGTTTGTGGGGGAATGGCGGGATCCAAGGGGTGTCCGGACCTCACTTCAGAGCCGGCAGATAGAGCGCAGACAACTGGACCATCTGACCGGTCCCCCTGTCTGGATTCTTCCCCCGGGAGCTGGATCACAGGGCCCGCCCCCCCCCCCCCGACCTCAGTGCCCCCGAGCGGCCAGGCCTTCACTGGGGAACCGTCTACAGAGAGCAGAGAGCTGGGTTACCCTCTCCCTTTCGGGTCCATGTGGCCCTCGATGAAGAGCACGCTGGCTTTCTTCTCCCTTCGCCGGACGCTCTTGACCTGTTGGCAAATCCGAGAAAACAAAGCATCAAGAACCCAGAAGAAGGCACGGGTCTGAAATACGCTCTTGACACGTTTCCGTTGTGCAGACGGACGTGAGCGACGCGTGGCCAGGAACGTGGCCGGCCGGGAGAATGGACAAAGTCCGCGTGGGACACGCTCAAACACCGCCCGGCTGCTTCACGCACCGCCGTCAGCGCTCACAGTGGAGCAGGACCACGTGGGCTTTGCTTTCTTTTCTTTTGTGACACAGAGCGCGAAGCCCACTGCTTCTGACCACCTGCGTGTGTGACACGTGGACCCTCCCCTGCCTCAGCAGGGCAAGCTCATCCTCATTTTCAGGACGAGAAACGTGAACAGAGAGAGTGGCGACCAGCCGAGGACACAGGGAAGCAGGGTGCCTGACTCCGGCCAGCCTCCCCGCCCCCCTGGCACCCCTCCGGGTCCCCGGCTCAGCCATAAACCAAGGGTGCACCCCAGGAACCTGTGAGCTTGGAGATCCGCTCCCCAGCGGGGCCCCCAGGGCACTGGAGAAAAGGAGGAGGTCCGGGAAAAGGTGCCAATCGCAAGGGGCACGCGAGTGCTGAAAGTAAGCCGAGGGGCCCCGATCGACGACTCCCCACAACTGTGACAAGACGCTGACCCGAGGACCACCACCCCCCCTTCTACCTGAGCCTGTGCTCAAGCCACACGTTCTGCCCATATGCGAACCACACTTGCTGCTACGGCCAGTCAGCCCCATCCACGGAGGCCAGCCTCGCAGCAACAGGAGCGTCTCCCGACTCCGGCAAACGTCTTCCTTATTACACGTCACTGTCTCTGACCGCGAGTTAAAGAACTACAGCTAGCATTGCAGGGTCCTGTCCACACCGCAGGGGCACAGAGGAGGATACGGGACGGAGGGGCTGACAGCCAGGATGCTGCCTTTGCCCAAAAATAAACGGACAGCCTGCAGCGTCCCGGCCCGGAGAAAGCCAGGAGTTCGCTGCGCTGGGGCTCAGTCACCGCACGTGCACAACCGGCCCCTGCCCCCAAACCTCACCCAGCTCGACGCTCCCACAGGGGAAAGGTTTCAAGCGCACAACGTCAGACATGAGCAAATCGCAGACCTCCCTTCAGGCAGGTTTTCCTGAGCCTGCCCGGCAGAGACTGGGCCCAGGACCCTCACACTCAACTGCGCCCAAATGATCAAACACCCCTTACTCAGGCAAACGTCTCCAGAAACCTTGCTCGTAATTATAAGCCCATCGGTTTTCCCCGGGGAAAAATATCTGCCGGCGTCCAAATGACAACAGCGGAGCGCGAGTGAGCCGAGGGGTGGGGGTCGCTGCGGGGCCCCCGGAGCCGGCCCCGTGCTCACCACTGCTGGCCAGAAGGGGTACTTCTGGTGTTTCAGCCAGACCAGCATTCCTACTTCAAAGGAGCGTGGTTCTAGAATTAAAAAGAAACAAAGACAAAAAGAACATTGAGTCAGCTCCCTATCGTGCACCAAATTCAACAACTTAAGAGAAAACAACTGTTGGGACTTGGCCTGAATCTGACGCGCCCTAACTCCGGTCAGAGACCCCAGCGGCTGGGACGGCATCCAAGGGCCAGTCGTGAGCACGCCGTGTGGGTAAGAGCTGGTTTCTTCACGGGACGATACGCCTGGTCACGCAGGTGGTGACACGGGAAGGTGCCAGGCAGGGAGCACTCAGTACTACCTTTGCCACTTGCCTGTAAATCTCAAATTCTTCCAAAGTAGAACATTTTTTAAAAAGCGTGGCACAGAAACCCCAATGCGAGAACCAGATTCCTAGGAAGCTCATCGGTCTGAAAAACGGGACTCTTAAAAAGCAAAAAATAAAAAAAAACCCAAAAGGAATCGCTGAAATCATCACTTGCTAACTCCGTGTTTGTGAACAAAGTTTGACAGGATTTCCGGCCCCAAACCACCACACTGCCGAACAGAATCACAGTTGGAACTGAGACAATCAGGTCACAAAACCCCGCAGACAGGAGGCCGCCCTTCCCTGCCTGCGGAGCCGCCCCGGCGACCAGCGGGCGCAGCGACAGGAGCACGGCCAGCCGGCGAGCGGACGCCTGGCATCCATCTGGCGAAAAGCACCCAGTTTCTGAGAGAACCGTCAGGGCCCCGGGAGGACAAACAGGTCTGGGGAAACACCCAGACGGACGTCAGGCTGCCGGGGTGTGGGGGGGGGGGGGGACGGGGAGAAGACCAAACCAGATGGAAGCACAAAACAGGGCCGAGAACAAGCGCGGGGGCTTCTCGGGGCCGTGGGGACCCAGCAACCCCCTCCGCTGGCAGCGGCCGAGAGGAAAACGCCCTTGAGGAAGAAGGCCCGGTGTCCCTTCTCCGGCCGGTGAGCTCTGCCCTGCTCCCTGCTCCCGGGAGCCAAGCCTACACAGAGCTCCCTCCCAGAGGTTTGTGCCCTGCAGGCTGCAGCCCCCCATGGTGGAACGATCTAGATAACTGAAGGTGGGGGAGGGCTCAGTAAGTAACAAATCGTTGCCACGAAGAGTCATCAGAAGACCATGCGGAAACGTAAAGCGTGTCCGGTCAACAAGTTACAAAAAGGAAAACCGCACGGAACGGGGCTTGTCTGGCGAAAAGAGCCGAGTCACAAGAGCGCGACCGGCACGGTGGCCTCCCGGGGTACGGTGGGGGCGACCCTTGAAGGAGGGGTTCCCCCACACTGTACTCTTTCTCCGACATCTTGCGAATCTATAGATTTCGTGACGAAAAGGCTAAAAAATATCAGACTACGTTCAAACGGATAGCTCAGGAGTAAGTCTCAACAGAAAATCCGTTCTGAACGATTTACTCCAGGAAACAGACTAACGTGCTGTCGGTCGCTGGTTCAGGTCCGCGCCTCCCACCCTTCCACAGGGGGCCAGGGCACCTCCCCGCACGCATGTTTGCCGGGGGCCCGCAGCACGTGTGGGAGGGGCCCCGGGCCGGAGACCCTGCGTCTCCGGACACGCGTGCAAACGCCATCCCCAAAGGTCCGCGGGCGGCACCGGGCCGCCCCCCCCCCCCCCGCCCCCCAAGAGTGGCGACGGACCCCTCTCTCCACTTGGCTGTCCTTCCTTCCCACGGAGGGGACGGGACGACACAGAAAGGAAGCCGCGAGCCGGCAGGGAGGGCTGGCCCGTCTCCTCCCAGGGAGTCGCCCTCCCCTTTGTGTGGTGATCCTTGTCAAGACAGAGCGCGCAGAACGCGGCACTTCTGAAGCTTCCGAAGCTGTCAGTGCAGCAGGAGGAAACTGAACTGGCCGGGGGCCGTCAGCCCCCGCGCCCCGCACCTTACCGTGGTACAACAGGATGCGGGGGGGCTCCTCTTCGTCCTCCTCCTCCTCCAGAACGGAACGGACGGGCGCACGCTCCACGGACTCTCCCGAAGTCAGACGGGCTGCCAATGGCATCAGGTTACTTACTTTCATCTCTACCGTTCCAGGAACTCATCCCCAGAAACCGTGTCGTGATACGAGACCGTAAACGCAAAAATGAAAGGTCCCGCGTCACGCACGCTCTCACCTTGCCGGATTCAAACAGGACTCGCTTTGACTAACGTACATTCCAAAGAAAGACAAACGAGAGGGAAAGGGGGTGGGGGAGAGGCGGAGAGACCGAGGGAGGGGAGAGGGCTCTCGGTCTCCGAGCACGGCCGGCACACAAAGCAGCGAGCTCCGGCAAGGCGAACGAACAGGGGCCGGGAGAACGCAGGGTCACGGGGAGAGGGGTGCGGCGCACCTCCCCGCGGCCCCCGTAGGCACTGGGACACGGCCTCGCCGAGTTTAAACTCACAGCAGAAACCCGAGTGTGCAGCCAGGGGATCTCGAGGTACCGAACCACGCAGAAATCAGTGGGATACCGCCACGGAAAGACCGGAAGGAGCCACGGTGCGTGACTGCGCGCGCACACACACACACACAGAAGTGTGTCTCCACAGGAATTCTTAAAAAGTCAGGAGCCCGAGGGCGCCTGGGTGGCTCAGTGGATTAAGTGTCCGACTTTGGCTCAGGTCACGATCTCACAGTTCGTGGGTTCAAGGCCCACGTCAGGCTCTCTGCTGACAGCACAGACCCTGCTTTGGATTCTGTGTCTCCCTCTGTACTGCCTCTTCCCCGCTTTCTCTCTCTCTCAAAAATAAATAAGCGTTAAAAAAAAAAAAAAAAAAAAAAAGGTTGAAAGCGTTCTGAGTTAATCACTTCTGAGGTTCTCGCCCGTTCAACGGGACCGGCTCCTGCAGGTTTGAGCATCAGAGAGCGTGCGGGGTGCGGCCACAGCGTCCCTCAAGCACCAGGCCCGGCCTCCAGTGACCCGTCCCCTCTCCGGCTCAAAACGAAACCAAAAACACTGGGATTTGGGAGGCGCTGGGCTAGTTACAACCTGGTGGGAAAGACCACCTAAACAGGAACCAGGAAACATCTGCCCCGCGTTCTGATCTGCTCTCCTTAAGCTCTAGTTAGAAATACACCAGGAGCCGGCCCCGCACGGACCGCGGGAGAACCCCAATCCGCCCTCCGCCAGCACAAGGCGACTCTCGGCCACAGACCTTTAGCTTCCTCCACGAGGACTCGAAGATCTCCCGTCTCCTCCGTGGACGCCCGGGGGGCAGGCAGGTGGAGTCTGGCAGCGCCGGGCAGAGCCCTGCATTTCCCGGGCCCCTGCCTGGGGGACGCCACTGCCCCTGGCTCCAGCCGCGCCGCGGGTGGCCTCTGGCCACTATCAGGGCGAGGCCGCTTGGCAGGGAGGCCTCGGGCATCCGGGCAGGCTGGGGGCCCTGGGGCTGGGGGCCCGGTGGGGCCAGGCAAAGGTAAGCTGGGGTCTCGTCCTTTGGCCCGGAGACCCTCCTCCTTCACTGTGGGAGGTGAGCCGGGGGCTGGCAGGCGGCTTTCTTCATCGTCTCCCTCCGAGACGGAAGGTGCGCTCTGACCCACGGCGGGCTCCCGAGCTACACTTCTTCCCCTTTTACGAGGGGTTGTCCGACTTGCACAGCACGTTCTCGACCCACGACCATCCTGAGAACCACCTCTGGCTGGTGGGACTACCGAGGCTTGCGGGCTTGCGTTTCTCCTGAGCTCCTTCTCGTGGTCCACCTTGCACCTGGGGTCCTTTTGACGAGTGGGGGAACCTGACGGCCTCGGGTGGACACGTTCCCTCCTCTCGGGTCCAGATGTGCCCGGCACAGCCTCCTGGACGCAGGAAGAGGCAGGGTCACAGAGCAAGGAGGCCAGTTCCATGGGCTTCTCTCGTGAACACAGAGCGGTTCTTTCTTCTCTAGAAGGGCTTTCTTGAGGCAGACCCGTGCTCTCGTTCAAAACATCCAGGGCCACTCGAAGCGAGCGTCTGTAGGCCAGCTCCTCTAGGGGTTCAGCAGGAACCTCATTCTGGGAGGCTGCAAGAACGGGAAGCAAACAAAGCCTGGTGACGCCCAAGCCACCAAGCCACCGGTCACCCAAGGTCCTCCAAGGTCCTCGGTGGCTTTCACACCTGAAGGGAGGTCTGCCCCTCCTCAGCCACATCTTCCCCAAAGGGGGACAAGGCCACAAAACAACAGCTATTGTTCGGGGCCGCGGGGGGGGGGGGGGGGTGCTCTGCTTTTCCAAAAACAACCTGACTGACCCTAACCTGCGTGGCTTACAAAGATAAATCCCTCCAGGTCACCAAACAATGCAGCCAGCTACTCAGACGCTTCCTGCTTCCCGAATTGGCTCAGCCTCACAACTGCAAATTCAATCAGGTCAAGAAAAACCCTCGCCAACCCCACAAAGAACTCGCCAGCACCGAATTCTTGGGTGGCGCCCGTGAAAGGGGCCCATCGTGGGCTGGTAGGTTTTCCATACTTCTTCACAAAGCATTTCAAAGCCAGAAACGAGCATCACGAGCTTGAGATTTTAGCCTGACCTCCCGGCTGCAATGGTTTTATTTATTCATTGCGACACACAGACCCGGACTGCTTATTTGAACAAGACGACGGCTGCGATGTCACAACTCAGCGGGCACAACACCTATTGGCACGGTATTTTTCCCTGTTGAGTATTAAAGGCTCCCACAAATAACCGGCCCCCGACATGATCGGAACAAATGACGAGGAGCGTCCGAGAGGTGATGGCCAACGCCACCTAAGATGTGCCCAGTGGACGCCGCTTTGAACAAAAGCGTTTTTTCCAACGACATAGGAAAATAGATCCTATTTCCTAAACACCCCTGGAAGCACTCCCGGTCAGCCTTTTCACAAGACCAACAGCTCTCGGTATAGGGGGTGCGTGCCCCCACTCCAAGGCGACAGAAAACACTTGTGCTTGGTCTGCCGAGTGGCCACCAGGTGAGCAGGCACTCGGCCCCAGCGCCGCGAGGCTCGGGTGCTCCCACCTAGGAAAGGCGAAGGGGTGGGTGTCGGCCTCCCATCTCCCACCGGCCTCGCCCCCACCCAGGAGCGCACTGGCACGCGGGGGGCGTCCCACAGTGATGCTGGTCACATAGTCCTTTCTCCCCAGAGCCCAGCCAGGGAAGCTAAATACGCAATCCACTGCTCTCAGCCCCCGGGCAGAGAAAAGACAGCGCCAAGGCCGTTTCTGCAGTCTCGCTATGGGATGGGGGCGGGAGGAGAAAGGACGCGTCTTCCGCCCTCTCCTCGCGGAGGCAAACGCACTCCGGGTCTCATTCTTATGTACACCGGAGGCCACGGGTGCGACCAGCAGATCCCAACGCTCGCAGACGGCCGCGCAGGGAGTCCGGAACAGGATCGGTCCCAGGGTAGACTCTGCAAGGGTTCAAGAAAGCGGATCCATTTTCTTCTCCTCCTTCAGCTCGGGGTCCCCTGGGAAGCGGGGTCTCTGCATTCCCCCACGCTGTCTCTTCGTTACCTAAAGACGTGCTCTTACCCAACGTGGAAGCGATTCGTTCGATGTGAGCCGTCTTCAAGGCCTCCACCTCCGTGCTCCTCACCTTAATCCTGCGGGTACAGAAACGCCCGTTACCTGCTACCAGCCAAGGCCGCGAAGGCATTTTCAAACGTGGGTTTCTTTAGATGACAAAAGAGTTACATTCATTTTCTTCCTTCTCAACCTTGCGCTTAAACCTATAGTCACGGCCCACTAGGAATTCGTGTGCCTGAGGTTAGAGGCAGTAAGGACCCTGGTGAATGTGGCTTTTTTGCTTTTTTCCCTTCTAAGACAGAAAAGGTTGGCTGGATTTAAGAGTAAGAATGAATTCAAATTGTGACTTTTATGAGGCAAATCCTACTTTCAACTACACAAACGACTCCTTTGTTAGGTTCTCAGAGTAGAAGGTAATGTCACTAAAAGCTGTTTACAGCCCAGCAGGTGTGTTTTAGTTTAAAAGGATGCGCTGTCCTTTTAAACTCGAGTATTCAATTACCTTCCCAGCCGCAGGGAAAGTGTGAGCTGGGGACCAAGTGAGCTTAGGAGGCGGCTCTGAAGAGGGTCGGGGACCTGGGGAAGCTGTAACCAGAGCGGACGAGGTTTTATTCTCTCTGAATGGGGAATTCTCCCGTTAGACCCAGCAATACCACAATCCTACGTGATCTGGGCATTTTAATCATTCTGGCCGATATTTTGCTCTTCTGTCGCCGGATAACAAAGGAAGGTAATGCTGCCCCGTAGCTGAGCATTTGCCGTCTGAATGCTAAATAATAGCTTCTTACTGGACGGACAGGCTGAAACAGCAAACACGTCAAAACCGACAGGGGCCCGTCCCACAAGTTTCTGAGAAAAACACACGCCAATCTGCGGGAAGGAACTATCCACATGTGAACCCCAACAAGCGCTTCCCCCGCGTGTTACTTATGCTTGTTGTTTTTGTACCGCGCTCTCTCACACAGAGCCCTTCGTATAAATGTTCATTTCCAGACAGACGTAAAAAAAAAAAAAAAAAAAATCAGCGTTTGCTTCTTAAGGATATTATGAACACACGTCAGTTACAGTAACTAAAGAGTTAACAAGCGCTTAAGAGTTTACTTCACTTTTTGGCAGGGGGACAGTAAAAGAAATCCCATTCGGAAAAAAAGATAACATTGAAAAAAAAAAAAAAAAGACCCCACGACACTTAACTTTTCATCTAGGGAGAGTATTTGAACACTTAGAAAAAATTCCTTTTTCCTCTTAGTTTTTGTTGCCACCTGCGTTCTGGCCAAAACCTGTATTAAAAAAATAAAGCAGAAAACAAAACAAAACAAAACCAAAAACACAAAATCCTTGTTACTAAGACACAACAAACAGCTGACGCAAAGCAGCACTGGGCAGCGCAGCCGCGGCCGGTGACTCTTAAAATATCCCACCCCCAGACCTCAGCAACCTCCTGTCTAATCCTGCCCTTCTACAGATGGGGAAACCGAGGCCCTCGGGGTCAGGGGCTGACCCAGGCGGGGAGCAGGGTCCCGGCCTGGCAGTGCAGCACTCTCCCTGTTGCGTTGCTAGAAAGTGTCCCCGAGGCACTCCCATTATTTACTACCACAAGGCTCCCTTCCAGATATTTCCTGGAATTACACACTGCCTCACCGCCCTTTTTAAAGCAGAGTCTGTTAATTTTCCTAAGTGTAGAAAAAAGGACACTTCTGGAAGCGTAACCTTGTAAGCAGCAGACCAGAAAGAACCCCATTAACCGGGGAGTGCGTGAGGTTCGGTGCCAAGAGATCCGGGCGCCAACTGCTGGGGCTCAATTATGTCACCGAAAGAACTCCTAGCCTCCTCCCGATCGATGAAGATTTTACTCGTCACCCAAAAGTCACTTCTAACTCCTGAAATTACGCAACAACGGCTGTCACCTTTGCAGGCCATAATCGCTTTTCCCATCTGCAGAGGACATACTTGGCGTCGGTCATGACTTAGACTCATGTGGCAGGTGGTAGTGATTTGGCACAAAGTACTTGAAGGTCGGACTCGATGTGCCCCTGCAACAAGATGCGCACAGTGGTTCATAAAAGCCATAGCTGGCCACCTTAGCACAGACGGGACCCTCAAGGGCACGGGTCACTGGGGCTTCGCCTCGAGTTAAGAGGGTCACTCCTGTAATCTTGCGCGGAGATGCTCAGCGTCAAGAAGAAGAAACGGCTGGCCTGGGTACCCGGGGAGGCGCCCGCCCGTCTCTCGGAAATCAAATGC